CCCCCCCCACAACCAAAAAAAAAAAAAAAATCATTTTTTTTTTCTTTTCTTTTTGTTCAGCCCGACTCCCACGGCCACCCGACACCCAACCACCCGAAAATCACGCCCGAGCCCCCCTTCGAAGACCCCGTACGGACGGAATCCCGTACGTACGGCCCGTACGCACGACAGGGGTTCCGTACGTACGGGAGTACGGGAGTACGTACGGGCCGTATTCGTACGGGCGACGACACAAACCTAGAAGATGCTAAATGTGGATTCAAGGAACGAAAATTTAATTTCCTTTTTCTTGCTTTTTTATTATTGGAAATGAGACTGACGAGATGGAGCTCTCCTAAGGCACGGGCCTACATTGCCCCGATCGCACTCTGTTCACAGATTTTGGGTAGACTGAAACAAGACGCTGGGCCTGTTTCCCGGTAGGTGCTGCTCCTCAACATTGCATGAAGCCACCCAAAGTCAGCTTCTCGTGTCTGATCCTACCACCACCTCAGGCTGTCTTCGGGGCTGAAGAATGACTTAAGTTTATCACATGCAGTCAAATCTCGTAGAGAGAATGCAGGGAGAATGCAGACAGAAACACAAGGGGGGTTGTGGACACCTGGGAGTAGCCTCGGGAAGATCAGCAGACAACCTCCAGGTGGGGCTGGGTCAGATGTAAAGTGGGAGCACCATCATGGGAACGGGACCCGGTCAGAAGAGACCCAGTCAGACCCAACACAGGAAAGGGGTAGCAGGGGAAGAGGGAGAGGGAGAGGAAGGAGAGAGCAAAAGCGATGGACGGTGGAGAGGGGGAAGGGAGGTGGGGGGGGGCCTAGACACTCTACCCCCCCCCCCCCCCCCCCCCCCCCCCCCCCCCTTTCCCTCCTCCCCTACCCCTCCCCCCCCCCCCCCCCCCCCCCCCCCCCCCCCGCCCGTTCAGCCTCTGTCTGAGCACGGGTCGCCAATACGGGTGCCGCAGGCCACAGAAAACAAGGCCACCAATACATGCGTGTGACGAACCGCTTTCTGTTCCTCGCGATTTTCTGCGCGATGACAATGAGGGGTCCTAAGCTGGGAAGGTTGGGCCAATTACGGGGATGGGATCGAACAGAAAATTGCATCGGTGCCCTTGTTTGTTCTTCTTTTTACCTCGCTTCTTTTCGGATGGTTGGGGCCAGGGCTAGGCAAGTCCCGGGATGATCAATTGACTGGCTGGCGCGCCGATGGAGGCGCGATTAATAACGGTTGACGTTGCTTCTTTCTTGTTCTGCTGTCGGATTTTTGGGCGCGATAATCGCGCGGGAATTTTTTTTGCGTCTTTCTTTTTGAATTTCTTTTTCGAATCTTATCGAGCCCTCGATGGCTCTCGGAATTTCGGACTTTCTTTTCAAAATTTGTGCTTTATTGGAAGTTCTTTTTGCAATTAGCTAGGAATTTAGAAATTCAGGATTTCCTTTGCCGCACGGTGCTTTTTGCTCACGCGTTTCTTTTTGCGGCTGCAACGGAGCTCTGATTAGTCGGCGCCCTTAATCTTGCGTGTAACTGTAATTTTGGGCAGGGCGGCCTTGTAACTGTATCTTTCTTCTTGAGCTTCGTCCTTCTCGCCCTCTCTCTCCTGTGCTGTGTCTAATTGGCCCGCGGGCTGCATGATCAAATCGATGCGTGGAGAGGGGCTATGTCCCCCACGCCGTGATCTGGCCATGCAGAACGTAGGCACTCCCCTCCCTTCTCTCTTTCTAAGTCTTTGCAATTCCACATTCTTCGCGCAGGCATGCACGCTATAAATTTCGGCTGCGCGATTACTAAATAGCTCTCTTAAAAGAGTGGCTGGAAGCTTGGGGTAGCGCGATCAGTGAAGGTCGGCTCACGAGCGAAGTAAGAGGTGAGTTGAAGTGGGAGTTGGGTGACCCGACGAGCTGGTGCCGAACTTGAATGTGCGGGGTTGACGCGTGGGGCTATGGCAGACTGTAGCGCGCGGGCGAACCTGACAGACACAGGAGGACTAAGCGGGGTGACAACTTCGTGGGTTGGTGCGTGACGACGGACTGTCCGCATCAGAGAGAGAGAAAGAGAGAGAGAGTTGAGATGGATGGACGTGGGATTGTGCTTTTTCCTTGTCTTTTCCAATCTTGTACATAAGTTTTGATTTCGGCTTTGGGCGATCCGCCCTTATTTTTCGATTCGGCATCTCTCCTTGTTTTCGCCTTAATTGGCATTTTTGCTCGATTTTGATCTCCTCCTTTTTTTTGTATGGGTTCTGCATAAGGGGTTGTTGAATGACATGCTCATGGTTTCTCCCTTCTTGCTTGTCCTAGCTCACGATGAACGACTACTGACAGGAGTTGATGTTGTTGTGATATCTGATGTGTGCGATGGCATTTTGCATGATCCGAAATGATTGCTTGTGACATCACTGAATGATTAGATGATTGGGTGGTTATCTACGCCATGTGGCAATTTTGCATGTAGGACTGAAACCTCACTTTTGCACGCCAATAAGCCCGTGTACGATCGAACACCTCGTGTGCGCAAGTGTAAGCGCGATCGGGTCAACGCGGCCTACTCGTGTCCACACGCGGGCGATTCGCAATCACTGATGAACTTGGCATCTCCAGTATAGGAATAAGTGCAGAATTTTCCCCTTGCGAGAATTTAAGTCGGCAGGGATTTCCGCAACCATACCCGGGACTCCCTTGTCAGTCGAAGCACGACCAGGTGCGTGCATAGTCACGAACAGATCCTGCGCACACACGTGCAAACCCGGCCGAAAGGGACGAGGCCTACATGCGTGTCTGTAGAACCTGACGATGACAACATTTTCGCCAGAATGACAAGATGTCGTACATCTCTGGGTATCGAGAATACTGGGAGGAAGAACTGCTTAGGCTGCGGAATCCGGAATTCCCCTGTTTAACTGAGAACGACCAACTGTGTGCCAGGGACTTTCGCCGCGCCATAACCAGTGACCCGAGGTGCCTCGACTACCCAATCACTTACAATACTCAGTATTACATATCCCCCGGCTTCGTCGTTATCACTACCAATTTTCCTCCCTTCCATCTCCTCCTCCCATACCACCAACTCACGATGGTACCGTGGAATTCCATAGCCCCGTATTGGCCCCACACGCCGTGCAGAAATTACAGACGACGCGGTAACCGCCGAGCCTCTGGAATTACGAAGCCTAACCATAACGCGCGACGTCAATCGCCACGAGTCCACACCTGGAGGTCCGACTCATAGAAATCGCAACCCTCACGGATGGACCTCTCCCGAACCGCCGTCACTAAAACGGGCGGATCGGACGGCCCAAGATGCACCTCGCATGCCATCTGCCTTATGATGCATGACATCGACTGCCATCAGACCGAAGGTAACCCGCCCCTAGGCCTCATTGCACCTATGCCCCTGAAACCTTGCTACAGGAGATCTCAGTTTTGACCTGGGACTCCACCCCCATTTTTCCAAAAATCCTTGGCACACCCCTTTTCGCACTTCCAGGGCCACATCCCACTCCGATCAGGAAGTCGCGCTGGGCGTGAGGTTTGGGCGTCACAGGCGCGCCAACTCCTAATGTAACCAAAACTTTCAGGCCGTTGTTCGACAATAATGTCTACTGCCCTGAACAGGGAGGAA